CTTCGTGTAAATAATATTCCTCTTCTTCTTCCTACTCCTCCTCTTCCTCCTCCTCTTCTTCCTCTTGCTCCTCCTCTTCTTCCTATTCTTCCTCTTCTATTCTCCTCTTCCTCTTTTTTCTTCCTCTTCTTCTTCCTTCGTCCCTTCTTCCTCCTCCTCCTCCCCCTCTTCCTCCTCCTCCATCACTGGGCTCACGAGAGGAAATATGATGGAAGTGATAAAAGTTAAGCATTGTGGTGGTGGTAACCCTGGTGACGCCCCCCCCCCCACCACCACCACTACACCTGACTCCTGCTGTCGCCAACACAACCACCTCCTAACCTCGTCTCCTCCAACACACACGCCCCACTACCTCACCTCCAACACACCCTCTCTCCATCAATCTCCTCTCTTTCCCTCCATCACATCTCCTCCATCTGACTCTTCCCCCAACACACTTCTCCATCACAACACCCTCACTTGAGGAGTGAGTGTGTATAATTGAGTGTATAAGAGTGAGTGCGTGAGTATGTGAGAGTGTGTGTGTGAGTAAGTGTGTGAGTGTGTGTGTGTGTGTGGTGGTGAGGTGAGTATAAGTGCGTGTGTGGTAGTGGCGTGTGTGAGTGAGTGAGTGAAAGTGCGTGTGTGAGTGATTGATTGTGCGTGCGAGTGTGAATGAGTGAGTGTAAGTGCGAGTGTGAGTGGTGAGTGAGTGTAAGTGTGTGAGTGTAAGTGTGTGTGTGAGTGAGTGAGTGTAAGTGCGAGTGTGAGTGAGTGTAAGTGCGTGTGTGTGAGTGCCTGTGTGAATGAGTGAAAGTGCGTGTGTGAGTGAGTGTAAGTGCGTGTGTGTGAGTGTGTTAGCAGTAAGAGGTCAGGTTATCGCTGTATATTCTCTTGTTAATTGTTCCTCTCTCGTCTGGAGCTTCGTTGGCATGGAGATGAACGACATCTCTCTCACCACCTACCTCACCTTCCTTCACACCACCTCCACCTTCCCTCACCTTCCCTCCACCTCCCTCACCCCCCTCAATCTCCTCCCCTTCTCACCTTCCCTCACCTTCCCTCACCACCTACCTCTCCCCCTCACCACCTACCTCCACCTTCCCTCAATCCTCACCTCCCTTCTCACCTTCCTCACCTCCCCTCTCACCCCCTCACCTTCCCTCACCGCTACCCCACTCCCTCACTTCCTCACCCCTCCTCCTCCTCCCTCTAGCTTCTGTGTACATCGTCACATTATTGGCCACACATCATCACATTATTGGCCACACTTCATTACCAGGCTCGACACACAGGGCCACTTAACATAACACTACCCACACCACTTAGTCGTATCAGGCCACCGCTTATCTTCATAGTGGCCACATATCGTCGTAATATTGGCACCCGTCTTAATTTGATCCCTCCCACTATCACCACCACCACCACCACCACCACCACCACCACCACCATCATCACCACCACCACCACCATCATCACCACTACCCCCACCACTACTGCTTAGGTTGGGTTAAGTTAGGTTAGGGAGTTGCTTTAGATTTCGTTAGGTTGGGTTAGGTTAGATTAGGTTAGATCAGCTTAGATCAGCTTAGATTAGGTTACCGTTAGGGTATTTATTAAGCATTAGACGAAGTTAATAAGCTGGGGTGCGTAATCTTCAGGTGATCGTACAGGACTCTGCCGGCCGGGCCAAATTAGGCAGCAATCTGTGGGCTTGTCACCTGGTACTCCGATGCCTCCCTGGCCTTCATCCACTCAATGAACTCTGATGTGATATATTGAGTGAGTGCCGCCCCCCATCACTCTCCCTGGTGCTTGACAAAGGCACTCACGGTAATGTTCCAAGTCCCTTACCCACCCTACCCACCCTGCCTGCCTACCCCACCTAGCTGCCCACCCAGTCTAATATTCCACTCACCCACCCAGGAAGGTATTCAGGGTAATGTCCAGGTTCTCCACCCCATCCCACTACCTACCTCACCCATCCCGCCCACTCAGCCCACCCCTGCCCACTCCACTTGGAACAACACACCCTGGAGGTCTTTCTCCACCCTTTGTTCACCTTGTTGTGTTTTATTCTCACCTATGAGTCGCCTCTCTCTCTCTCTCTTTTTTTTTTTTTTTTTTCTTCTTTCTCTCTCTCTCTCTCTCTCTCTCTCTCTCTCTCTCTCTCTCTCTCTCTCTCTCTCTCTCTCTCTCCTTCCGTTTCCCAATCCTCCTTCCTCTCCCTCCTTCCCCTTTACTCGCTTCTCCTGTTCCTCCTCCTCCTCTCCCCTCCTCTCCTCCTTTCCCTCCTCTCCTCTCTCACCCAATATGGTAAATAAATATGTTGAACAGAAAACTTACCTGGTGTTATGTTACCTGTTGTTTCGTGTGTGTGTGTGTGTGCGATTTCCAACCTTCCCCTTCCATCCGAGCAGATTTCAGCCCTTCCATCCCAGTTAAATCCTCTCTTTCTCACCCTCCCATCCCAGAAGATCTCATCTCGGGAAGGTAATGCCCTTTTCCACACCAGAAGAAACAGTCCCCATTCCACTCTAGACCAGAACTACCCGTTCCATCACCCTCTTCCATATCCCGTTATCGGCCTCGTGATGGATCTTTGTGTACGACTAAACCTTGACAACCTATGAGGCCTTCCCTCCCTCCCTCTGTCCCTCCCTCCTTCCTTCCCTCCTTCCCTCCCTCCTTCCCTCCCTCTGTCCCTCCCTCCTTCCTTCCCTCCCTCTGTCCCTCCCTCCCTTCCCTCCCTCCTTCCCTCCCTCCCTGTCCCTCCTCCTTCCTTCCTCCTTCCCTTCCCTCCTCTGTCCCTCCCCTCCTTTTCCTCTCTCCTCCTTTATTCTCCTCTCTCTCTCTCTCCCCTCCCCAAGAGATTCCTTCCCACCTCCCTCTCTCCTTCCGTCCTTTCCAGACTCCATATCTTCACTCCTCTAGTCTTCCTTCCCTACCTCTTCCTCCTTCCTTCCTACCTCTCCCCTCCTTCCCTCCCCCTCCCTCCTTCCCCTCTCTCCTTCTTACCCTACAGAGACCTCTCCTCCTGCTTCCTGCCCCTATACCCTCTTGCCCTCCCCTGCCCATCCCCAGCCTATCTGCCCACCTGTCCCTTTATCCCCAGCCTACCTGACCCCCTTACCCCTTGCCCCCCTTCCTCCTTGCCCCCCCTTCCCCGTGTCCTCCAGCCAGTGTGCAGGAGTCGGTAATTGGAGTCGAGACGTAACCAGTGTTCATGAGGGCGCTAAGTGGCGGGTGAAGGCAGGATAGGGGTGCTGGGGAGAGGCTGTGGTTCCTCCCCCTGGCGTGTGCTGCTGCTGTTATGCTCCCCGGTCGCGTGTTATGCTCCCCACATTGTGTTATTCACCCCTTCTTTGGTTCCTCACTCCCCCGGTGTGTACTGCTGCTGTTCTCCCCACATTGTTTTATGCTCCATTCTTAGTGTCATTCTCCCCGTCTTGTGTTACTCTCCCCCGTCTAGGCTATGCTCCCCACCTAGTTATGCTCCCCATCTTTGTGATAAAACCATTAAAACAATAATACTCTTAAACACTGTAGAATATAACACTGACACACTGTTTACACCTGGTCTAATATATCCTTAATTACTTCACTAAGTCAGGTGTGTCAGGTGTCCTTGATATCCTAACAGTATATCCTATGTCCGTCTTGATTTACCAATTTGGAATACAGGTACAGTGAAACCTCCATATAACGGACTTTTCTCTCCATATAACGGACTTCTTTCTTCACATAACGGGCTTATATGGCCATATAATCCGTTAAATGAGGGTTTCACATTTAACGGATCCTCGATATAACGGACTTTAATTTTTATAATAGTTCATAAGATGGAAATTTCACTTCCAACGGGCCCTCGATATAACGGACTTTTCCTCTCCCTATAGTCCGGTAAATAGAGGTTTTACTGTATAAGTGAATTTAACCCGTTTTATTAACTCGTGTGTGTGAACGTCTGTCCTGTGTGGCACTAAACAATGTCAACACCTGATTGAACGACTCACAAGAGGTGAAATTGTCCCCCAGTCTTGTTAATAAAGTTGTTAAACCAAAACAGGAGTGGTTGAGAGGGGGGGAGTGGGATTGGGGTGGGTGACTGGGGAGTTAAGGTGGGTGAGAGGGGATTTGAGAGGGTTGTGAGAGGGGTTATAGTGGGTGTGAGGGGAGTTGAGATGGGTGAGTGGGCTTGAGATCAGTGAGAGGAGTTGAGGTGGATGAGAGGGCTTGAGATGGATTAGTGGGGATTAAAGTGGGTGAGTGGGGGGAACTAGTAGACCATAACCTGGGGGAAGAGGGGACGGGTGAGGGACGGGTGTTAGAGTCGTGGAATGGTAGGAAAAGGAGAGAAAAAAAAGGGAGGGAGAGGGAGAGGGAGAGGGAGGAGGACAAAGAGGAAGGTTGGCCACGGTAGCAGTTGGACCATCTCGTACTGTGGGTCGTGAGTGAATGGTGGTAAAGACTGTCTATGTAATTTGATGCTCTTGAGTTGTGTGAGGTGTTGGGGTTAAGTCGTGCTATGGTGCTGTACCCTGGGTGTGGTGTGTTGTAATGGTGATGGTGTGGTGTGTTGTAGTGATGATAGTGTGCTGTAGTGATGATGTATGTTGGTGTGGTGTTGTATTTTGATGGTGATGCTGTATTTTGCTGTGCTGTATTGTGGTGTTGTTGTATTTTGGTGTGCTGTAGTGGTGTGGTGTGGTGTGGTGTGGTGTGGTGTGTTGTGGTGTGGTGTGGTGTGGTGTGAGGTGGTGTGGTGTCGCTATAATCATTCTCTTTAACACTGGCTGTAAACAGGAACAGTCTAGTTGATCAAGTTATCAGCCCCAGGAAGCTCGGGGACCTGTGTAGGGGGTAAGTGTACAGGTACTTAATTCCAGGTAATTCATGGGGGCCGAGGAACTGGGGGAATACCTGGATACCTGTATAAATTAGATATAATATTGATACAGGTGTGGTAGTACAGGTAATGAGTGTATTAAGGTGGATCTAACCTGTGTGTTCTTCTTCAGGTGGTGGGCGACGAGATGATGGTGCTGGATGCCCTTCGCCGCCTCTCTGCCCGGACTCCTGCCGATGTTCTGAGGGCATCGTCGACTGCCGGGACCGAGGCTTCACCCATGTCCCCCTCCACATCCCTGAGGACACCACCGAGCTGTGAGTACCTCCTTTACCTTGTCCTAACAACTCACGAGTCATCTTACATATCCATTTTTGTTCAGTTGTCACAGTATTCTATCCATAAATGCTTCGGATTCGTGAGTCTGAATCTTTAAGGGTTCAGGAGGAGAGAACCTAATGAACCTTAAATAGCTGACTGTATACATAACCATACAGTGACCCTTATATATTAGGTCCTATGATAACATGTGCTGTATAGCTGTATTGTACGGATACCACATACTCCCAACATAGTAGTCTCTCGCTTGACATTCCTACCTGATAGCTATGTTCCGGTCTCCTTGTTTATGTGCTAACTACAGTACTATCGTTAGCCATGGGTAGTTCCTCACCTGAGTTACCCCTAATTACCTCCGCCAGGGTTTTATATACATGTTATTATATTAAAGGTTTAAAGGGTAGGGGGGGTGAGGGATAGGGTAGGGGGTAGGTGGGTAGGTAAGGGGAAGGGAGGGTGAGTAAAGAGGTAGGGGAAGGAAGGGTAGAGAAGGGAAGGAAGGGAAAATAAGGGAGGGGAGGAGAATGGGCTAGATAAAAGAGAGAAGAAAAGGGGAAGAATAAGAGAAAGGGTAAATGATGCGAAGGGAAAGAGAGGGGAAGGATGAGTTTTAGGGATGAAGGGGAATGTAATTGAGGGTGAAGGGAGGGGAGGGGAGGGGAGAAGAGAGAGAGGATTGAAGAAAAATGAAAGAAAAAGAGGGAGGAAGGGGAGAGGAAGAGAGGGGAGAAAGAGATTGGATAAGAGGAAAAGTCCATGAGAGGAAGGAGAAGAACAGGAGGAGGAGGGATGAAGGGGAGGAAAGAGGAGAGGAAAGGATTAACTCTGTGAAAGCCTGATTTAAACACGACTGTATCCGTTTATTGATAGCTTGAGGGGCATACACTGACTGGTAACTGGTAACTGCGCTAACTGAACTAATAACTGGGAATTGGTTAAATAAGTTATCACTATTATTATATTATCATCATCATCAGTTAGCATCATTATTATTACGGTCATCATTATCAACTTCATTATCATCGTCATTATTGTCGACAAGGCTTTCAGAACTGTCATCATCTTCATTATCATCATCACCACCGTCATCACCACCACTATCACCATCACCACCATCACCACCACCACCGTCATCACCACCACCACCACCACCACCACCACCACCACCACCGTCATCACCACCACTATCACCACCACCACCACCACCACCACCACCATCATCACCATCGTCACCATCAACAAGGCTCTCAGCACTACACAATAATCCATACTAAATTTTCCCACGAGTCTTTGCTGCTTATTTGGTAAGTGACATTTTACCCCAGCTCTCACCCCCACCCTCCCCCCTCCCTCCCCCTCCCCCCTCCCCACCCTACGCCTCCCTTCCCTTCCCTCTTCCGTCTCCTCTCCCCTCCTGTTTCGTCATTCTCTCCCCTCTCGTCATTCCCTTTCCTCCCCTCCCCTCTCTTATTCCTCCTTTCCCTTTCTCCTTGCCTACCCTCCCTCCCCTCTCTTCCTCCCTCCTCTCCCTCTCTTCCTCCTCCTCCTCCTCCTCCTCCTCCTCCTCCTCCTCCTCCTCCTCCTCCTCCTCCTCCTCCTCCTCCTCCTCCTCCTCCTCTCCTCCTCCTCCCCCCTCCTCCTCCCTCCTCCTCCTCCCTCTCCTCCTCTCCTCCTCCTCCTCCTCCTTCCTCCTCATACTGTACACAGCCAGCCAAACCTCCCAATAAAACCCACGCTTGATGGGGGCCAAGTGCTGCTTTAAGTTTATTTAATCTCAAGTCGACTAGGAAGGATTTGGTGAGGTATACAAATCAGGATCTCCAAGCGTCTCCTAGCTGTATTTCTTGTCGGTCTCCGGGTCTTGGCTGAGTCCTGGAGGGTCCTGGGGGGGGGGTTGGATTAGGCTGGGGCGAGGAGGTAGAGTTAGAGTTAGGTTAGGTTTTGTGTGGAGGGATAATATGAGTGTATCAGAGAGCTCATTATAACCTGGTGTGTGTGTGTGTGTGTGTGTGTGTGTGTGTGTGTGTGTGTGTGTGTGTGTGTGTGTGTGTGTGTGTATGAAAGAAAAATGAGTGTAATAGGCAGACAGAAAATAGGAGAGAGAGAGGAGACACTCCTCCACCACCATCTCTCTCCTGTATTATTCCCTCATTCAGTGGGACAGGTCGCTCACACCTCCTCTTCTCACGTCTCTTGCCCTGTTCCTCCTGCCCGTCCCCACTTGCCCTGCCTCCCCTCCTGCCCCTCCTCCTTGCCCCCTCCCCTCTGCCCCCCCCTCACTTGCCCTACCTCCTCTTCCGCCTATCTACTGTACATTCTCCGTTACCACTACTTAATTTCCGTATACGCTTTCATTCCTCCTTATTCCTCCCTCTCCTCTCTCCACCCCTCCCTCCCCTCCTCCCTCCCTCCCTCCCCTCCAATATGCTTTCCCTTCTTTATCGTCTCATTTCCTATTTTCCATCATCACTCTCCCATTCTCCCCTCCTTCGTCTTTCCCTACTCCCTCCCCTCCCTCTCTCCCATCTCTCCCCTTTTCGCCCCATCCCTCCCTTTTCCTCACCCTTTCATTAGGCTTGTATCTGTCACCTATGCCCCTTCAGTGTGCCCCTCCAACATGCCCCTCACCCACACACCCTTCACCCACGCTCCATCACCCACTCCTCCTAACCCACTCCCCATCACCCACACTCCCCTCACCCATTCCTCCTAACCCACGCCCCCTTACCCATTCCTCCTAACACACACACCCTCACCCCCTCACCCACACCCCCTCACACCCCCCTCACCCACGCCCCTCTACCACGCCCCTCCAGCACGCCCACCACCCTCGATGTTTGGTGTTATCAGATTTGGGTTACAAGTGTCGTCGGCGTGTATCTGTGGTCATTAAGGGCGACTCCAGCACGTCCAGGGGGGATAAGGAGGGGGGGGCAGAAGTGTTCCAGGGCCCTTACCGTAGTGGAGAGGGAAATATTGATAAAAGAGAAGAGAAGGAAGAAGAACGATAAGAATCTGTGATCAATAAGTTAAAAAAAATCTTATTATTTCGTGTCTTTATATTCGTTACGTTAATTAATTATATTTATACTTCAACATTTCGGCCACAGAGATAAGAGCTGTTAACAGATGAGAAATTAAAGGGAAGACGTTAACTGAGGAAGAGGAGGAGAAGTAGAAGAAGAAGAACCAGAAGAGGAAGAAGAAGAAGAGTAGGAGGAGGAGGAGGAAGATACGTAGGGCGGATTAACAATATTAATCTGCATAAGAAAATAATCCATCGTCTCGTTAAGACATTCTCTATATACGGATAATGTTACGGCATTTACATAAGACTTAATCCCTTGAGTACGATGACGTAATCTCTTGAGTACAGTGTTATCTTACTCTGTGGGATGAGTCCTCGTGCTCAAAGGCGATGTAATTTTGTACTCGAGGGATTAAATCATCGCACTGAAGGGATTAATTCGTTGTACTCAAGGGGTTTAATTATCGTACTCAAGGGGTTAAGTTATTGTACTCAAGTGGGCGTTACTCTCTCATGCCATTGTGCTCTGGCAGTTTACGGCGTACTAAAGGGGTTTAATTAACGTACTCAAGGGGTTAAGTTATCGTACTCAAGGGGTTAAGTTATCGTACTCAAGGGGTTAAGTTATCGTACTCAAGGGGTTAAGTTATCGTACTCAAGGGGTTAAGTTATCGTACTCAAGGGGTTAAGTTATGATAATTTCAATAACATTAGTAGTTTCTGTTTTGTGTATTGGTGATCTCTCTCTCTCTCTCTCTCTCTCTCTCTCTCTTCAGGAGCTTGACTCTTAATTTTCTTGATATTATCTGAAGTGAGTGGGTGGAGGGGGCGGTGAGGAGACTGGGTGGCTTACCTGGGTGGGCGGGCGGATAACATGGATGGGTGGTCGTAAGGGTGGTTTGGATGAATGGGTGGGAGGTCGGAAGACGGTTGGGTGGCGTGGATGGGCGGTTAGGGTTAGCACGAGTCGGCTGTCGGAAGGTTGTAGTGTGGGCGGAGTGGGTGGGCGTTCGGAAGGGATGGCGTTGATGGGTGGGTGGGCGGGTAGGTGGGCGATGGTGGGTCGCTAACCTGCTGACACTATCAACCAACGCAAAGACGTTTACGACCATAACTTGTGATGTTAACTGCCTGCGTCTTATGTTGTGTTGGCATCAGCTGGTTATCAACGTCAGGAGAGGTCGCGTTGTGTGGCGTTGATGTCAGGTCGTATCTAACGTCAGTGGTTTCAACGCGAGGGAAGATATATATATAACAGCGTTCCCATGGATGATCTTAACGCGTTGAGTGCAGCGTTGCCACCAGTACATTTAACACCCCATAGTTATTCAACGCTCTTACCAGGAAGTCGTATTAAGTCGGGGATGGTATCTCGCCCAGGTAAAGTCAAGGTATTGCCTCATTAACAGTTTTACGAGTACAGGTATGCTTGTAGCTCCTCCACACACACACACACACACACACACACACACACACACACACGCGCACACACATATACACACACGCACATGACCTGATAGTGATGTTAATAAACTTTCTAAATACCTTTTAGTAACTCTATTCCTCTGGCCGCGTCATAAACAACAGTAAACTCATAAGAAAAAATAAAGGTAAATAGTTGTCTTAATATGTTTGTCAGTGAGTATTTTTTTTTTATTGAGTCTTAAGCGGTAGTGTGGAGTTGGCCTTTTTTACGTCTGGGTGAAGGTGTGGTGGTCTCTCTCTCTCTCTCTCTCTCTCTCTCTCTCTCTCTCTCTCTCTCTCTCTCTCTCTCTCTCTCTCTGCCCCCTCCCTGCCCCTCCCACTCCTCCTCCCCTTCCCCACCATAACCCCCTCCATGACTCCCTCCTCCTCCCCACCATAACCCCTCCATGACTCCTCCTCCCCTTCCCCACCTGCCCCCTCCATGACTCCCTCCTCCCCCTCCCCCTAACCCCCCCCTGCTCCCCT